TCGCCGCCTCCCCTACCCTGTTCTCCCTTCACCAACCAGGCACCCCCGGTTCCTGCAAGGCCCTCCCGTCATGTCGGACCCAGACGTCCCCAGGGGCCCTGATGTCCGCGCCATGTGGCCCCCCTGTTCCAGGGGCGCCTGAGCCCCTTCGAAGAGCCACCACCATCCCGCCCCACCCCTCCCACCTTGGCCCAGTCCTGAGCCCCAGGGACCATGAGTGGGGGCAAGAAGAAGAGTAGTTTCCAAATCACCAGCGTCACTACGGACTATGAGGGCCCTGGGAGCCCAGGGGGTCCAGATGCCCCTGCCCTGCCAGCCCCCACTGGGCCCCCGCCCCGCTTACCCAACGGGGAGCCCAACCCCGAGCCAGGAGGCAAGGGAACCCCCCGGAACGGCTCTCCACCACCTGGGGCCCCCGCCTCCCGTTTCCGGGTGGTGAAGCTGCCCCAGGGCCTAGGAGAGCCTTATCGTCGAGGCCGTTGGACATGTGTGGATGTTTACGAGAGAGACCTGGAGCCGCCTAGCTTCGGCAGGCTTCTGGAGGGGATTCGAGGGGCCTCGGGGGGCACCGGGGGCAGATCTTTGGATTCCAGGTTGGAGTTGGCCAGCTTGGGCCTGGGCGCCCCTTCTCCACAGCCAGGCCTGTCTCAGGGTCCCAGCTCCTGGCTCCGCCCACCTCCCGCCTCCCCTGGACCTCAAGCCCGCTCCTTCACTGGGGGGCTGGGCCAGCTGGCAGTGCCTGGCAAGGCCAAGGTGGAGACACCCCCTCTGTCGGCCTCCCCACCCCAGCAGCGCCCCCCAGAGCCCAGGGCCGGGGATAGCGCAGGCACATCCCGAGCCACCACACCTCTGCCCTCCTTGAGGGTGGAAGTGGAAGCTGGGGGCTCAGCAGCTGGGACCCCTCCACTGTCCCGAAATAAGGATGGAGCCCTGCGGCTGAGGATGGAGTTGGTTGCTCCAGAGGAGATGGGGCAGGTAAGAGCTGGGTTCCAGGGTGGGGAGAGACACCTGAAGGGCGATGCTTGCCCATCTTGGCCTTGGCCTCCACTTTCATACTGACCTCTTCCCACTGCATCACCACCTGTCTGTCAGATCAGATAGCCCCTCTTTTTTCTTCTGCCATCTCACTTGGAAGTCCATTCCTACACCTCGAACAGCCTTTGTTTTTTCTCAGGGCCCCTCTTTCACACATTCTGCACCTCCTTTCTTTCTCTTTGGCCTTTCATTTGTTGCCTTTGGCCCAGTCTCCATCTCTATATAGCTCTCCATCACAGAGATGTGCCCTCCTCGCTGTGGCCTTCACCTTTTGTCTTGGTCTCACCTTTCAGGTGTTGAGGGTGGAGGCTCCCAGCTAGGGCTGATTGTTTGGGCTTCTGAGAGAGGAGCTGCCAGGGTTGGAGCTTCTAGGCATTCTGCTGTCTCTCCTTTGCAGCCCCATTCCCAAGATGGGAGAATTCTTTCTTCCCACTAGCCACCTATCCCAGTCCCTCTCTAGCTCTGTCCCAAGCCAAATTTCTCTGAAAATTTTAGGAATTTGGTGGTGGGGGAACCCATTGCAAGGATGGGGCTTATTGGTTTGTCCTTTCTACCCCCAGTTGTCTGTCTCAGTTCCCTGTGTCTGGGACTCTCCAGAAACAATAACTGGGACTGGCCACCATGGAGTGCGAGAGGGGCGGGAAGCAGCAGAGAAAGTTAAATACTTTGCTTTTGCTTCCTGTCTCCAAAAAAGGAACAAGTCTGGGCTAGGGGGCAAGATGCCTGGGTCTCTGGGGTGAGGGTTGGGGGTGGGCAGCCAGGGATGTGGGGGTTGGATGTGGCTGTCAGGAGAAAATAACACCTTGGGCTGCGAGAGGAAAGGCAGGGAGTGTAGGGATGGGAACTTTTCCCCTTCCTGGCCTTGGGCACAAACCACAGTATAAAAATAACCTGAGACTGGATGTCTGGGCCCTGTCAGGACTGGTCAGGACCAGTTCCCCCTACCCCCTCCTGGCCTTAAGCTCACATTTCTAATGCCACCCCCCTACCCCTACTTTTCTTTTCCTGAGCTCTTTCATTCAATTCCTACCCCAAAGGAGAAGATGCTATTTCCTTTACTGTTGATGCCTTTCCCTGAACCCTTCCAAAGCAAACTCCCCTCTGCCCCCAGCCTCTGATCTCTATCCTTAAGCTTTGCCTGAGCTTCCCTTGGGCCCACAGACCCTGACCCTCTCTCCTAAGTACCTCCAGCCCCCCTTTCCTCTCTCATGTCCTTATCCCATTCTCTGTGTATGCATCTGTGCTGCTGCTTCCTTGCCCCAAAGACAGTTTTCTTTCTACACTACCCTATGCCTCTTCTCTCTCAGTTGCCTCTAACAGGGGCCAGGAGGAGGGCCAGGAACATCACCTGGGCCCCCTTCCTCTGTTCTGTCTCTGGACTCTCTGTTCTTGGCTTTTCCCAGAAGCTGGGGCCTCCTAGGGCCTCACAGAGGCGTCTTGTTCCTGTGACCCCCGCCCTTTTGCAGCCGCCCCCATCTCCTGTTGGGCTGTGTGGGTCCACGCCCAGGCTCCGCCTCCCCCATCTCGCAACTGCTTCCCTTCCACCCCAGGGCCAGAGAGCAGGAGCAGAACTTCACCTGAGTCCTGAGAAGTTTGAGAGGAGAGGCTTGAATGGGTACAGTGGGTGGGATGGGGGGATGGTGGAAGACCAGTTTCTGAGGATTCATTCATTCTACAAATAGCTATTGAACAAACTAAGTTCTGCCCTTTGGAGCTTACCTTTTAGCAGCAGAGAGGCAAAAATACTTTAATTCCAAATAACGTTAGGTGCTCTTTTAAAAAATAGAACAGTTCAATGGAATTACTAGTCGAATGATGAGGAAATACTCTCTGAGGAAGTGATATTTAAGTCACTTTAAGAAGTCAGGTGACAGAAAGCATACACTCTCTGACTAGCCTCTGATTAGGGGTCCTGGCTCAGCTGGTGGAAGAGTGTTGACATGCAGCCCAGAACCCCTCTCTGATACTCTGTGTTCCGTTTTTTGGAAGCCACTCACCCAGTCCTCAGGATGGATGCTGTTTTCTTGCCTCTAGTACCTGCCCAATGCTTTCTCTAGACATGGGGGAGAGAGGGGCTGCGGAGTCAGGACTTCTGGGTCCTTGGAAGAGAATGGGGTGTGTGGGGTAAGGTGGAGAGGGAGAGGCAAATTGCAAGGTGGTTGGTTCCTTTCCCTTGCTTGACATGATAGTTTCTACCTCTCTGCCTCCAGGTGCCCCCACTCGACTCTCGCCCCAGCTCCCCAGCCCTCTACTTCTTCCCCGATGCCAGTCTGGTTCACAAGTCTCCAGACCCCTTTGGAGCAGCGGCAGCCCAGAGCCTCAGCCTGGCCCGCTCCATGCTGGCCATCAGTGGCCACCTGGACAGCGATGACGATAGGTAGGTGGGCTGCGGCTCTCCACCCAGCACTTGGATAGCCTCATGAAACTGCCTGGTAGGTGTCCTTCCCCTAAGTTGGACTTGGACAGGTCCTCTTAAACAGACTAATCTGGCCTGGGCATAACCCACTGGGCAAAGTTGATTTGGAATCCACTCCCTCTCTGTGGAGAGAACTGGGTGAGACTCCCTGGCTTAGGATTGTCAAATCATAGTACTTTTTAAGAGTTTGAAGGGAGTCATTGTTGTCAAATTCCAGAGCTCTTGCAGATTTAGCGATCATCTGGCCAACCCTAAGAACTTACTGGCAAACGTGCTGGAGAAAAGCATAGGGAGTTAGTCTCCTCCCAGTTTCCAGCTCCCTCTCCCTGCAGAGGGGAATGGGATTCCTGTCTTTAGTGATAACATTCTTATAGTCCATGTGGATTACTTCAGTATCCTAGAACCTCTAGTACCAAGAAAACATGTCCCTAAAGTTCTGTTCTCTGTGTTAGGAACACCACAGGGGCTGAGTCCTCCGTGGCCACACCAAAGCCAAGGAGAGGATGGCTGCAAGGCACAGGGAAGGCACAGGAGAACAGATCTGCTGGGATTTGCCCTTCGGGGGGAGAATGTCCAGTTCAGTTCAGTGGCAGGGTGGGCAGAACTTCCCGTTTCAAGGGCCAGGTTTCAGCATATGAACGTCAGCAAGCTGAAAAGGGAGGAACAAAATTGCAAGTCAGATAGCCAGGCTGCTCCCTTCTGGCAGAGGACTGATAGGAACCCTAGAGAATGGCTAAGGAGCTGTAACTTTTATTTTGGAGGGAGGAGTGGGATTTCCTGTTTGAGGCTTTGAGGGGAGGGACTTCCTGTTTAGAAGGAAAATAAGGGGTGGGGCTTATGATGAGTGAGTGGTTGCTGGGAGTACCTATTCCAGAGTTGATTCTCCTTCCTCCTTCTCCTCAACACAGTCAGGGACTGAGTCCCACCAAAGAAAAGGGCCTGGGGCCTTGGAGAGAACTTGAAACCAGAGAGGAAAAAGAAAGGGTAGCTGGGAGCTGATGGATGGGATGGAGGATGAGGGGCCTGGTGGGGGCCAAGGAGAATGACGGACAGAGTGGATATGGTCAGGGTCGCTTCTGAACTCCCCCTCTCAAGAATATATTAGGTGTGAGGTCGGCCAAGGCCAAGAGAGTCACCTGTCCTCATAAGCTGCTATTCTCAGCTTTTCCCACCCTCTTCCCCTCCCACTTGGAAAATTTCCTGGCATGAGGGCTCCCTGTCTGTCCTCCACCCCTGTTGATTCCAGAGCCCAGCCTCCTGCTTTCTCTTAGAGAGTTCAGCCTCCAGAAGCCTCCTTAGTTCTATTGTCTTGTCCACTCCCTTCCTCCCTCTGTCCCATCCCCTCCATACACCCTAGTCTGACTGGTCCAGCTCTCAGCCTCCACGTTACCCTGCTCCACTACAAGCCTCTGGGGCTCTGGCCCGGCCCAGCCCCTCGTACCCCACCCTGCTGGGTCAGCAGGTTTGGGTTGGGCCACCCCTTTGGCCCCTGGAATGGGTGTATAGCTCTCACCCCACCTCACTGATGTGCACAGAGCTGGCGGGAGAACAAAGTCTGAGTGGCAAGGGACCTCCCTTTCGAGAGGGAAAGTGGGCTGGGATGTTAAGTGCCTGGATCCCAGGTGGTGAGTTGAGGATGCCTGACCAATCCCAGAATCTGGGGTTGGGAGAGCAGAGGGTGCCTGGTGAATTCATACTGCTTACATGCCCCTGGGTTGCAAGAACCTTTGAGCCCTTGACAGGGCCTGGCAGTTGGAAGGTACTTGAATAAGTGGATAGATGGATGGGTGGGTGGGTGGTTGGATGAATGGGTGGGTGGATGGCCAGCATGGGGGATCCAGACATTATAAGGAGTGAATTCCAGGAACTCAGGGAAAAAAAGGCACATTTATATTCGGTGTCTTCTTTGGGTCAGGTGCTGTATCTTATGTCACATAATCCTAAAAGCAACCCCATGATATCTACTTTCTAGATGAAGAAACAGAGGAGGAGAGCTTTAGAAACTTGCCCAAGGTCACCCGGCTCACCCGGCTAGTAAGTGGCAAGACTGCCACCAGAGCCTGGATCTGACCCCAGAGCCACACTCCACTCTCCTACTAGATGCCTGTGTCCCAAGAGAAGAGGAGGAGGCAACCATCTCTAGGATGCCCTTTCTTAGGACAGAGGCAGGGGTAGCTCCCCCAAACCGGGCAAGGAGCCATCCTCCCCAACTCCTGACCTGGCCCCACACCCAGACACCACAGATCCGGGAGGGAGTGTAGACAGGGCAGCCAGATGCCTCTTTGTTGGCCTGAGGCCCAGCCCCTGGGACTCCTCAGAACACAGTGAGGGAGCAGGGCTGGTCCTTATCTCCAGGATCAGAACCTCCTCACCTCTCCCATATATCCTGCTTAACTTCATCTGGTCCTTGTTTCATTTGACCTTCAAAAAGAAATACCAACTCTAGGGCTGTCCTTGCCCCAGAACCCAAGAGTCCCTCGGAAACAGAACCACGTTGTGTATATTGTGCCCTGTACAACTCCAGGGGGCGGCACTCACATTTAAAGTCGCTGTCATCTCTTGAAGTCATGACAGTTTTGTAAAAGATGGCAATGAATGTCTTGAAGAAGGCATATTTTGTTGTAATTCACACAAAGTCGCCATTTGGGCTTGTGGTGAGAGCTGATCTCACCCAGCCAATTCCAAGCTTCCGGCTCTTGACTTTGCCCAGGAATTCCAGCATAGTGCCTGCTGCCCCTCACTTGGGGTTCTCAAACGGAGGGCTTGGGTTGACAGCCAGAGTCCTCATCCCTTGAAGTGTTATAATTAGGATGTGACAGTGGAAAATGCTGTCAAAACCCTTTAGCACTAGACCAACAAGAGATAGTCATCTATCATCCAACAAATGTTTATTATTGTAGTAGTCCTTTATTTCTGGCAAGAATGAACAACTTACTTGGCATCTTTACCAGAGTGTCTGCCAAGCAAGGCTAGGGTTCCTTTTCTTATGAATCTGTCCCTCTTTGGTCTCTGTGGGTCTATGCGTACTGGGGGTGGGGAGAAGGTTCTGTGGTGGCTCAGTCTCCAACTAGGTGTCTCAGATTGAAATAGCTTGAAAACCTTTGACTCTCTAGCTGGCCAGTCTGCCTCCCACTCTTAAACTTGTCCTCTCCTCCCAACTCCAGGAGTCCCAGGTGTCCATCCCCCATCCCACCCTATCCTGCTCTCTCAGGCCTGGTCAACCCCTTGGTTACCCACCTTTCAAGACCTTCTACACCTAGAGCTTGGATGGGACATGGAAGATTCCCAGCTTCCTCATGCTTCCCTCTTGGCTGCAGGGCCTCATCCAAGGGTCACCTTAAATTGAGTGCTAACCCCTCAATCCCACCCCACTCAGGAAAGCAAGTTGGAACTGACAACCAGGAGAGAGGGCTTGACAAGGGAGTATAAGGGCACAGGATATAGCATGTTGGGGCCACCTACTTTGAAAGGGACAAAACTGGGAACAAAACTGAGGACAAGACTGGTGTTCCTGCAGCACAGGGGGCGTGGGTGAAGGCCTGACCCTGGGACTGAAGCAGCAACTGGACAGTGTGGGTCGTGAGCTGTGGGATGAAGCAGGAGCCTTGGGCCTGAGTGGTGGGGAGAGGGAGCCTTGGAGGATATAGGGCAGAGTGCAAAAACTTTTGTAGGCTCTGGGCCTCTGGGAGACTTGCTTGAGACAGAGTCAGGTTTTGGGACCCAGAGCCTAGCCCTGAGGACCATTGTGCCAGGCCTGAGTCGACCTCTGGTGGCCACTTAACAAACTTCAGCCAGACCTGCTCTCCCCTCCCTGTCATCTGCTCCCAGGGGTCTTCAAAGCCCCCACTTTTATTCCCAGTGACCTACCTCCTGCCTCACCACTCTACTTCTCTTCAAGCCCTCACTCCCTTCAAGACCCCAGACCCCAGACCCAGGACCATAGGCTGTACTTGTCTTTCAGGACTCTGGGCTGTGTTCTTTTGCCACAGTAACCTTTCCCATTCCTCCCGGCCCTCACCATGGGAGGAGAGGGACTCTCTGGCCAGGGGTCACCCATGATGTGAACTTTGTGTCTGTAGGGGTGCTTACAGTCCAAGAGAGACCACAAGCACATCAGAAGCAACCTCCCCATCCCCCCTCCATCCCAGCTGAGAGGAATGGAGCCCTTGAGGGAAGCCAGTGTTAGTCCAGAGAGAGCCGGATGGGGTCAGAGGTGGGGAGAGGCCTCCCAGGGCCAGGCTCTCCCTCACCCTTCACAGCCCTCCTTGACCCAGGCCTCTGGCCCCACAGCCCCTCCCCTGACCCAGCCCACCAGCTGACTTCCCTCAGCCGGCCCCCTCCTCTCCGTTCTGGGATTGGTGCCAGGGTGAGAGGGGGACACTGGCACTGACCGTGTCTGGGAATTCCCGCCCACCATGGAGCCAGTGGGAGGGGGTCCCCGTGTCCCTAAGGAGCCAATAGCAGCCAGGCTCTGCCCTAGGGGGTGGTGTATATCTTTCAGACCAGCACCCCCTGGGCACTATCTTCTCTCTGCCTGCCTGGCACCAGCCAGACCCCGCTCTCCCCGGGGGGCTCTGAGCCCCCCAGGCAGTTCTTCTGATATAGCCCTTTCTATTGGTGGTGGGACTGAGGACCTTTGCTCCTTGGGGATGGCCCAGCCAGGAGTCTCTGTCAAGTCCCTGGTGTCATCATTTGAAACCCGAGTGGTGGGGATGGCTCCAGGGCCTCCCCGGAAAAGGGGCTGTGTTTCCTCTCCTTGCTCCCCTCGGGGAGCATCCCCCATCCGAGGGGCATCTGGACCCCCACCCTACTGGGGCCTGGGGGGACCTGGGCAGCGGCGGGGGATGGACAAAACCCTCCTTTCCCTGATTCTCTACTGTCACAGGTACAGGCTGGGGTGTGGGCGGGAGGCTGCAGCCATGGGGCTTATGGAGGAGGCCAGAGCCTGCTCTGAGAAGCACCTGGAAGGCAGCTGGCTGGGGTGTCCAGATACCTGGCTTGGCACCTGCTCCTCCTCCTCATCTCTCATCTCCCTATGTCTCTCCAGTGGCTCCGGAAGCCTGGTTGGCATTGACAACAAGATCGAACAAGCCATGGTAAGAGAAGCCATCTTGGTCCCAGGAGGTCCTGGCTCATGTGCTGATGCCTAGGCCCTGCCTCCATTAGCCAGCCCGCTGCTCCACCCCTGCTGTCCTCATTGTTAAAGGACACTGACTCCTAGCTCCTCCACCTGCTCCCAGCTGGGTTCCCTTGGGTCCTCCACCCTTCAGTCTCCACCTGAACCCTTGACTTCCCTTGGTCTCTTGCTAGGCTCCAGGTTCCCATCTCTGTCTTTGAGTCCTGACTTTGCCTCTCTCTGGCTTCTTCCCCTGCCCTCCCCTGCTTTGCTTTTTTCCCCAGCAGTCCCTCATTGTCTGGGAGCAAGGGATCTCACACCCAGCCCCTCCCTCAAGGCACTGGGCAGGGGATGAGATTGGGGTGGCCTGGGACTGCTGATGCTTTGCCTGTCCCTGGGCCCCCAGGACTTGGTGAAGTCGCACCTCATGTTTGCGGTCCGGGAGGAGGTGGAGGTGCTGAAGGAGCAGATCCGGGACCTGGCCGAGCGGAATGCCGCACTGGAGCAGGAGAACGGACTGCTGCGTGCCCTGGCCAGCCCTGAACAGCTGGCCCAGCTGCCTTCCTTGGGGGTCCCGCGGCTTGGGCCCCCTGCGCCCAATGGGCCCTCCGTCTGAGCCTCCTTTCCCTCACAATGTGCCTTTGGGGGCTGCCACAGCTGCCAGGCCTTGCGCCAGCCACCTGCCCCTCTTCCTATGCAGCTTTAATGCCCTATGTTCCCTGGGGATGGGGATTGAAGGCTCCCCAAGAATTGGCCTGTTACCCCACCCTTCCTCCATCTCCCTGTAGTGCTCAAGGACTGGGCTGGGATATCTTCAGGCCTTGATGGAGGAGAGAGGGCTTCTGGACAGGGCGTTAGATAGAGCCTCCCCACCCAGGTGCCAGTGTTCTGGACCCCACAGCAGTAGATGGCTTGGGGGAGTTGGAGGCTTTCTTGCAGACCCCATCCCCATCTTGTTCCCTGAAAGTGCCCCCTCTTCTCTGCTCAGGGGAGGGAGTATGGATAGTATCTGGAAGTTCTGAGATTCAGGTTGTTGTTAAAATAATAATTATAATTAAAAACTCCGAAGAAACTTGAATCTGGAAGTTGGCATCTCGTTGCTTGTGTCCAGACTGGGGGCCTGCACTGGCAGTTTCGACTTAGGGGAGAAAGACTGAGGCTGTGGGCTCCCCTGGAGATCTTGTCCAAACTGGCGAGGTTTAATGTGGCTTGGACAGAGTGGTCAAAAGAGATGAGGGAAGAGAGAGTCAGTGGCCTGTGGGGTCCTGGGAAGGGGCAGGCAAGGCAAGGCAGAGGGAGTGGAGCGGGGAGGGGGCATGTTGGCCCACGTACTGGGGTTGGGGGGACGGTACAGGGAAACAATGAAGCCTTTGGTGATTGTGCAGGATCCACCCCCAGCTTCCCAGCGTGTCCCCTCTGTGGGCTGGATCCGGGTGGCTGCTTGGGGGTGGGGCAGGGGGCTCTGAATAGGCCCCTTGTCTCACCGCTGGGTGCGGGCCAGGCTCCTTCGGCACACGTTGCCCTCGCCAGGCCTGGCTGGCCTTTGTGGCTTCCACCCCCAGCTGGCTGAGGACAAGGCCTTATGGGTGAGCAGGCCCCTCCCTAACAGCCTCCCTGGGCTACCGTCTCAGGCTGAAGAGGCAGGTAGAGAGAAGGACCCCATCTTGTGGCGAGTGGGAAAAACAGCAGCCTCCACTTCAGGAGGACCCTGACCCCAGACTAGAGGGGACCAGTGGAGAGCTGGATGAATACTGGAGGCCAACCCAGGCGGGACTCCATGTCTAATAGTTCACTAGATTTATGACCTTGGGCAAGTTCTTTGGTTTTTCTGAATCTCAGCTTTCTCATGGGTAAAGTGGCATTGACAATTACTTGTGTCCAGACTGGGAGCTTGCACTGGCAGTTTCTACCTCTGGGAGAAAGGCTGAGGCTATGGGCTCCCCTGGAGATCTTACCCAAACTGGCGAGGTTTAATGTGGCTTAGACAGAGTGGTTAAAAGAGATAAGGGAAGAGAGAGAGAGAGAGAGAGCCAGTGGCCTGCAGGGTCCTGGGAAGGGGCAGGCAAGGCAATGCAGAGAGAAGGGAGGGAGAATGTTGGCCTATGTGCTGGGGTGGGGGTGACAGGACAGGCAAACAATGAGAGGAAACAATGAGACCAAATGATACCTACCTGAAGGCTGCTGTCAGACTTACAGGACATTGTACATGAGACTGCCCAGCAATTACCAGGCACTCCATACATTTTTTGTTTCCTTCCCTGGATCTGGGGGAAAGAGGGCTCAAGGTGCTGGTATCAGCTCAGAGGTTCTGGAAGGGCCTCGGGGGTTGGGGTCAAGGCAAGGCAGGCTCTCACAATGGGCTAGAACTCTCCCTCCCCTTGAGTTCTTATCTACTTTGACTCCTCTCCCTGTCCCAGGGAGGGGAGAAAAGGCCTAGGATGAGTTGTCAAGGGGAACTTTCCCCCTGGATTCTTTATTTCTTTCTTTACTGCTGTGCTTGAAGTTCCCAAGAGACCCCTGTCCCCCTGCCACCCACTGTACCAAATGCTGATTCTGCCCACTACTTGGGCCTTTTGTATCAAGAGAAATGGCTGCAGTCATGAAGTTCTTTCGATGGATTTGGCGAAAGATTACTTACTGGGTGAGTTTTGGAGACTGTCCCTTTCTCATGCCATGCTGGGGTGGGAAGAGCTGGTCAATGACCTTTAGGTCACAGAAATGCCCCCTCTATTGAGCTTCCCACCCCTCCTGGCATCCTGTGGTCAAACAAGACAGAGAAGGAGGAGGTGAGGGGTAGGACAGCCAGGGAGGAGGCTGGATACACACTGTCCCACCCACTCTGTGCCTTCCCTTCTTCTGACTTGTCTTCTCTCTGGCCCTCTCTCCTATCCTTCCTCTCCCTGCCTTGGCTCTTAGGTTTTATTCTGGAAACACAAACCTAAATCAACCATCTTGGAAAACCCTGACTGCAAGAAAAATGCATTGAAGGTGGAGAGGGCTTCCATCATTACTGAGACTTTCAAGTTGGTTGAGCCTCTCAAAGAGGCTAAGGTTTCCAAGACAGAAGTGTTCCCCAAGGTGGCCAATCCCTGCACTTTGGCCAAGATAACAGATGGGGCTAAGGTGGAGCTGGGCCATAGGGGCCGGTCCCTGCTGCAGCTGCCCCGGACAGCTGTCAAGTCTGTCTCCACGCTCATGGTCTCGGCCCTGCAGTCTGGTTGGCAAATGTGCAGCTGGAAGGTCAGTACCATATTCTCCTTGTCCTCAACAACCTTCTCACTCGTTCCATCCCCTATGATTCATTCCGCCCTCCATTCACGTGTTCAAATTTATTTCTTGTGCCTCTATTAAGTGCCAAACACTGAAGCAGGCTCCAAGGACATACGGTGAACATAGTTTACCTAGATCAAGGGGGCTACAGACAAGATCATGAGCGTTGTTGGTTTAGTATCATAGGGGTGTGATACGGGAGGCAAGGGGTCTATGGGAGCCCGGGAAAGAGGCATCTCATTCAGGCCTGAGAAGTCAAGGAAGGCCTTCCTAACAGAAGAGAGGATGAAGCCGAGACATGAAGGATTTAGCTTGGCTTGAAGTAGGGTGGTGAGAGTGGGGGTGGTGAGAGGAAGGTGGAGGGAGTGGAAGGCTCTGTTTCATGAAGAAAGAATAACAGATGTGTAGAGGGCTGGCCAAAAGTGTATGGGTTGGAGTAAGCAATCCTGGAGCTGAGGGCCAGCTAGTACAAGGCAGGGTGGGTGGCCAGTTGTGGAGTTCGAATTTGACTCTAAGAGCAATAAGAGCCTTGCAGACATTTGAGCAGGAGTGACACAATCAGATTTTGATGTAGAAAGCTCACCTGCATTCTTACATTGCTGGTGGAAACATAAAATGGTATGGCCTCTCTGGAAAACAGTTTGGTAGTTTCTTATAATACAAAACCTTGCAAGTATCATGTGACCCAGAAGTTGTCCTCTTGGGCATTTATCCTAATGAATGAATGAAATTTTATGTTCACACAAAAATCTGTACACAAATGTTCATAGCAGCTATTACTCATAATAGCCAAAAGGAACCCAAATGTCTTTCAATGGGTGAATGGTTAAACTGTGATATATCCATACCATGGATATACTTCTCAGCCATAAAAAGGAACAAATTATTGATACATGCAACAATTTAGATGGATCTCAAGGGAATTATATTGAGTGAAAACAACAAATCCCAAAAGGACTTGTTATATACTGTGTGATTTCATTTATATCAGGGGTCCCCAACCCCTGGGCCGCAGACTAGTACCAGTCTGTGGTCTCTGAGGGACCGGGCTGCACAGCAGAAGGTGAGCGATGGGCCAGCGAGTGAAGCTTCATCTATATTTGCAGCTGCTCCCCAGCACTAGCATCACTGCTTCAGCTCTCCACCTGAGATCATCAGGCATTAGATTCTCATAGGAGCACTGGTCCCCTGTACCAAAAAGGTTGAAGACTACTGTTTTATAATATATACCATGCTTGAAATGCCAAAATCATGGAAATGGAGAACTAATTAGTGGTTTAGTTGCCAGGGACTGCAGGGGTGGGGTAAGGGAGGTAGGTTTGTTATAAAAGGACATGAGAAATCCTTGTATGATGGAAATCTGTATCTTGGCTATAGTAATTGGATATATGAACCTGCACATGATATAAAATTGGGTAGAATTCAACATACACACACACACACATGCACATACACACACAAATGAGTACAAGTAAAACTTGGGAAATGTGAATCAGATCAGCAATTATATCAATGTCAGTATCCTGACTATGATATTATACTAGAGTTTTGCAAGCTTTTACTATTGGGGGAAACTGGTAAAGGGTAACAGGAACTCTATTATTTCTCACAACTGCATGTGAAACTACAATTATCTCAAAGTCAAAAACTTAATTTAGAAAAGGGAAATGTATATATTACTACCAAATCAACTTATTTTGACTCTAAATGAAGTACTATGGCATTAATTAAAATAAAGTTAACCTGGCTACCCTGTGGAGGGGAGTCAGAAAGGGACAAGAGAAGAGTCAGGAAAATCCATTGGAGGTATTGCAGTTCAAGCCAAGAGAGATTCTGTAGTCAAGGAGAGGCATCAGGTAGAACAAGTTAATAATTGGAGCAATATTTAAGAGGTGGAATTGTTGCTTCAGGTGGTTGATTAGATGATGGTGAGGGGATAGGGAGAAATAGAAGTCAGAACAGGCTAGAGCCATTCACTGAAGGGACAATGAAGGAGCAAGGGCAGACTTAGGGGAGGAGGTGATGAGTTTAGGTGTTGGGACAAGATGAGTTGAGATGTTGGTAATACATCTACAGGGAGATGTCTTAGAGGCACTAGGATATACAGTCCTGAAGGTCAAGGAGGGAGCTCTGGCTGGAGACAGAGGTCCTTCTTCATTAACACACTTTCCATGAAACTCTAGTGGAGACTCAAAGGTGGATCAAACGTGGTCCCTATCTTCCAGGAGCTTTCATTCTGGTGTTGAAAACAGATGAGTCTGCACAACAAATAGCAAAGAAACATGATATGATGAGGCAAACACAGGGTAGAGATGGAACACCTAATGCAGCCTGAGAAGGCTTCTGGGAGGAGGCAGTGCCTGCGCTGAGGCCTAACAAAGGAGGTGGAATTAAAAGCCTTTGCTATTAATCTGCAGGTGGTTCCACCAGTGGTTTCTCCCTAGACCAAGCTGTTTACATGTGCACATCTTCTCTCTCTTCTAGTCATCTGTGAGTTCTACCTCAGTTCCCTCCCAGATGAGGGCTGGGTCCCCTTTGCAGTCGCCGGAGGCTGAGATGCTACGGGAAGTGTACCTGGTGCTGTGGGCCATTCGAAAACAACTGCGGCAGCTGGCCCGCAGGCAAGAGAGGCGCAGACGGCGCCACATCCGGGCCCACACTTGCCCTCAGCCTGACCCAGTTCAGGGCCTAAAACAGGATGCACGGAGTCCCCTCTAGGGAGGAGCCCCCATCCTCAGAAAACTCCCACCTCACTCTTAGGTAAGGTTGATAGGAGAGGTTAAGGCAGCAGGCCAGGAGCTGTGGGTGAGGAGACATTTTCATACTGTCACCACTCATCAGGAGCCCAGGGCCAGGCCTGGGGTCCCACATACTCCCTTTCATTCCTTCTATTCAATTTGTAAAAAAATTATCAAAATGTTGGGAAATAAATATCGGATATTTCTGAGTAGGTGTAGAGTGTATTTGTGAATGGCCAGAGGCTGTGAGGGGGGATCTTGGGTGGGACAGGGAGGGGAACCTGAGCTGCTGGCCCAAATATACGTGGGAATAACCTCTGGGCTTGTTGGGGTGGGGGGGAACAACACACACTTCTAGGGAGTTAACTGCCTTTGGCAACTCTGCCAGGTAGGTAACGATGGTAAGAGCACCTGTCTGAGGACTCGCTGCGTGCCAGCTCCTGAGCCTGTGCTCCCTTGCAAACCTGCAGGACAGACTGTTGTAGAGGTTATGGGACTTGTCCAAGTTCCTACAGAGACCTCGCTGTAAACTGCCCGCCTCCAGCAGCCAGCCCACTGCCTTGCCTTTCTGGTGCTCTTAGGCTCAGCCACGGCCAGGGTTAGTAGGTCTGAAGACGCACATGGCGACAGCGGGACATTCACCTGTCGGAAAGGCACTCAGGCCCTGCTGGCCACGGCCCTGCCGAGAGCTGCCAAAAACTACACCTCCCATGATCCCCGGCGGCGACGCGGGCCCTGGGCTGGGGATGCGCGGGTGGGGGCGGGGCGGTGGCCTCCAGTTTTGGCCGGTGGGCAGTGAGCGCCGTGTCCTGGGAGGGTGGTTGTTCACCTGGCGCCAAGGGCGGAGCGGCCCCAAGGGAAGTTGTGGTGATTTAGAGGGAGTTTGGGGGCGGGGGGAAAAACGAGGGGGTACTGTGAGCCGCAAGTCCCTCTCTGGCTTACCTTGCCCTCTTGCGGGGCTATGCGAAGGCGCAGAGATGACTCCCCAAGGAAAAGTAGGGATGTTTCGCAAAACGGGAAAATTTGGGAACTTCAGGTTCACAGGGCTTAGGGTGGCGAGCGGAAGAAGGAAGAGATGGCAGTAGAGGCCCGGGTGGGGGAGAGGGGGAAAGGGTGCAGAGGGGTGTGCATGCTGGGTCTTGCTCACAGAGAGATTGTGAGTAGCGAGCGGTACGCATGAGCAAAGTTAGGGGTTAGTGAGGAGCAACAGGAATGGTTTGCTGACAGCGCCTGATTCACTAGAAGTCAGCAACCCCCACCCCAACCCAGCCCCTGCAGCTCTGGGAGAGTTGGGGCCCACTTGATGAGAATCCGGGTGGCCTTTTACCCAAGAGTGGAGCAGCATTGGGCAACCGCGCCCTACAGCTCTGCTACGCTGTCCACTGCACCTCAACATTTGCAGCCATAGTAGTATCACCCACCACTTATTAAGCACCTACCGTGACTATTTTTATAAGTCATATTCTAAGTAATTCTTACCACAGCTTTATGATGAAGTAGTATGCTTCCACTTTTTAGAGAAAACTGAAGGACAGGTCATGTTTTCATTCATCCAAGTAATGAGTCTAGCTCACACAGGACATGTTACATGTTTGTACACATGCATGTAACATAGCAAATGTTCAATACAGGAATGAAGTGGCTTCGCGGAGAATTAGTCCTGTTCAGGTTTTCAGGTGGGTCCTCAAAACATACCGATAACGCAGTGGCTCATTTCTGGGGCTTTCAATCACCAATTACTCATCACATTTTCATTATGTGCTAGGAACTGTTTGGGGCTGAACAGGTCATGCATTGTCTGTGTCCCAGGGCTTAGGAATAGTGCCTCACTGTCTTAAGATCCACTGTCTAAGCCCCTCCAAGTCCTCAGAGACAGGCTCCTCATCCTGTCTTCCTATTGGGGACTTAAGATTTTGACTGAGATTAAGGAAGGGTCTGATGAAGGCTGGGCCCCTAAAGATCACTCGCAAGTAACTACAGGCCCAGGAGCCAATTTGGGCTTCAGGCTGTGAGCTTATGGGAAGAAACACTGTTCTCATTTTCCTTGGACTTCCTTAGCATCTTGGGAGTGATGGGGCCGGGGGGAGTTCGTCCAGTAGCCAAGGGAGCTGCTGGCACCTCTCACCCTTCTCTCTCTTGCCCAGACATGATGAAGTCTCGTCTGGGCTTGGCCAAGCCGGTGCAGGAGATTTGTGAGAGAGAAGCGGGCAGGGTAAGGTCCACCATCCAGCCCAGGGCCCCGGAGAAAGCCTGTGGTGGGACCTGAGGAGGAACTTCTCAACTGAGAGGAAAGCACGTGAGATCTCCTGAGGAAGAAACTTGGGGGGGAAGAATTCTTACACACCTCAAACTTCTCCTGGTAGAGAGCAATGGGGAACAGGGTGACCCTGGGGAAATCTGCCTCCCAGAACAGCCTTGAGCAGAAATCCCACCTTGGACACCTCCCCTCCTGTCTCCATTGGATCCCAGGCACTACCCCCTCCACCAAGGCCACTCGACTTTATGAAGCAGTAGTGGTAGGGCTAGCGCCCAGCTGGAACCAGGGATCCTTTATTCTCAAAACTTACCCATCCTATTAGAAAGGGGGGCCCTGGAAATGTGGGGAGCAAAATGAAAGTGCTGGTCCCAGATGCCTAAGTTCTCTTCCCAATCCTGACCCTTTCCCCTCCTCCCCCATCATTATCAGATTTCCTGAAAATGTCAAATCTTTTCTCCTGCTTTTTCCCTGGGAACCCTCTACAATATACTCATCGCACAGTAAAATGTGTCAATCCCCTGCTTAAAGCTTCCAGTGGCTTTCCATCATCCATGGGAAAAAAATCCAATTGTTCCCTTTGTCTAAAATGCCCTTCTTGGCATGGTGGGATCCTTACCAGTCTGGATTCTGCACAGATGTTGC